GTGTTGGGACAACTCTTCCATTGCTGTGCCGGCCATGGCCATCGGAGCTCGAGTGGTGCCTGTGGTGCCAGGACGACGTCAGCCCGGCCTCCAGCCTCCTGGGCACAGTGAGAGGTAGTGGTGCCGAGAAGGGCAAAGGCCAAGGCCCTTGACACCCTCAACTTGAGGGTGTGGTGAGCACGCGCAGCTTCGTGCAGCTTCTCTTCGTCCGACCAAGATGTCCCTCTTCTGCACCGTTGCAACTTCTGCTTGAATCCGGCATGTCGGAGAGTGTTGTCAAGGAGCGAGTTTGCGTTTGGGTGCTGGTTTTCAGGACATCAGCCATGCTATGTTCGAGAGCAGCTTTCTTAAAGTTGAGGCGACGTGGCAAGACCTGCAGTGATGCAAAACGCTAGTCCAACGGCTGTGCCATCAACTCCTGCCTTGCTTGAGCTGCTACTTGGAGATAAGGTTCCGAGAATCGTTTTCAGGTTTATGGCTATTGAAGTATTCTAGCACCCGACTTTCGAGGTCTCTCTCTCTCTCTCTCTGCAGGATCGTGGATCCTCATTTTTGTCCCACCATCTCTGTACAACTGCTGTACAATATGCGCTCACAGAAACGGCCATCCAAGCCCAATTGGCTTCGTCGGCGTGTTGGCCCTGCAAGTCTGACTTATCTGCAGGCTCGATTGAAATATGTGAGCGGCCAGGGCATGTGAAGCCGTAGCTGCGTCCCGAGGTCCTTCAGCTACCAGCCTCCTGCCAGGTTCCCAAACTGGGCTTGTAGCGTTTTATACAACAGTGCTGTTTATAAATTACAAGCCATGTTTTATCAAACACTGTAGGGTTCACTTGAAGTTTAAGGTCTCGGTGCTCACGCTCGCACTGTCCAGCAGCTTGGGGTTTCGAAGCTCACAACAGCTTGGGGTTTCGGGTTCAAGGTGTTGGGCTCTACGGAAGCCTTTGACCTTGCAGACTGGGTCTACAATGTTCAAACCGGGGTCTGCAGCTTCTAACCAAACTGCACCCCGTCGCAGCCTTCGCTGATCTCCTCATCGTCCGACCCAAAAATAGCCTGCTGGACTTCGGGATCTGCTTGCAGGTCGGGTGAGGCGTACTCGATTGCCTGTGGACACTGACGCACCGCTGCAAGCACTACTTCTCGGTCGCTCTTCATCCTGTCGCTCATGTCTCGGAGGGTGTAGCCGTTGGCCGCAACACATGGTAAGACCAGTTCTTTCATGTCCCTGAACCGAGGTGCTGCTGCACCCAGCGCAGAAGGCGCACCATGGATAGCCAACCGCACCAAAGCCTCTTCGTTCTTGAGCTCCTCACTCGCATACTCCAAGGCAAATGGCGACCGGCGGATGGCTTCCTCCATGAACGCCCTGTCGCCGACCAAGTGCTGTCCTATGCACCACAAGCACCGGGCGTAGATGGTCACACATTGCAAGATGAACTCTCTATCGGCTCGCAGCTCTTCACTTGCGAACTCCAAGTCAGGATAGTTGTAGTTCCACGCGACGACCGCCAGCATGCAATATCTGTCACCGCGCACCTCGGCCGGTGCATTCCGCACCAGCTCCGAGACGTGACCATCAGCCAGCATGTCGGACAGGGACTCCAGAAACGTTTCCTGCTCCGAAGTCCGGCTCAGCAAGTCAAGATGGACGACGTCACCGTCACGAGGATGATCGAGCAGGTCCCACAGCTCCTCAGAGTAAGGCCTGTCAGGGTGCCGGTTGGCCTGGAGAAGGACATCACACAGCTCAAGCTCCCCGAAGAAGAGCCGCTGCCTATGTTCTGACCACTTCCAGTTGGCTTCGACCGCTTGCTTCAAGTCATCAGGCCTCCACTCGCCGTAAGCAGTCAAAGTGCCAAGAAGCGAACCCATGGTAGACACTCGGACCTGGAACACAGGGCCTTTGTCGCGGTTGTCATCGATGCCACCGAAGGTCGGGAAGGAGTCATCGAAGGGCGCCATAGCTCGGGAGATGCGCGGCGGGCTCTTTCCTACAGCATGCACTGCTAGAACCAGTGGAGCCTTGAGCCTACCTGCGAGGATACGACTGGTGCATTGCACGATGGTTCACTGCTACCCGAGGACCCCGGACCGCATGCAGTTCAGTGTCAGTTTTCGACGACCACGAAATAGGCCGATTCCGTATTCAGTACGGCTTACCCTCTTCCCCAAAAAGATTTAGTGCCATGCGGCCCTGGCACACTACAAGAAGCCCTGCCGACCTGCTAATTGAATCCAAAGCCAGACCAATAAATTTTCCACAAATCCCCAATGCTCCTAAAGATTGACGTCAAAATTACTGAACTCCAGATTGCCCAATATCCCAAAAGAATCAAAAGACTCTTAAACCCGACCCGCCTGCCACTGACTGGAAACCACAGAGCTAAAAACCCCCCCAAACCCCTACCCTGAATCCTAAATCCTCAGCCCCAAACCTGAAACCCCTCAAAACTCTGAACTCTAGTCTATTTCACACATCCGAAACTCCTCGAGCTTTTGCATTCACACCCTCTCACAGTCGTAGTATCTTGTAACACCCCCTTTGCCTTCAAACAGGGCTCCGCAAGAACAAAAAATAAGTAAACCCTGCACGGTTTTAAACCCAAACCAGAGCTCGGAAGAAGGCCCAGAAACTCTTTGGCCGAGTTTGGGCTGGCTTGCAGGAGGCAGGCGTAGGACTCGCCCATCCTCAAGTGGGTGTGATTGCAGCGGTGGCGGCGGCGGCGGCGGCGGCGGTGGTGGTGGTGGTAGTGGTAATAGTAGTACCTAGTACTACCTAGTGGTGCCCAGTGGTCGCTAGTAGTTGCTGGTAGTACCTAGTAGTTCCTAGAAGGTACCTACCTTGTTGTACCTTGTACCACTAGTATTGTAGTAGTAGTCGTCGTCGAACTACTGCTACTGCGCTAATGCTTGGGGAATACTCCTACTCTATGACTTCTGTACGACTACTGTCAGTGCAACAATACAGCTCTAGACATGCATGCATGCTTACATATGTATTACACATACATACATACATACATACATACATACTTAGATAAATAAATAAATAAACAAATAAATAAAGACATATGCAAAGGTACACACTGCAGTCGGAGGAATGCCAAGGCTCCGCGAGACCCCAAGCCACCGGTAGTTCGGGATCACCCAGGCCGGAAGCATCCTCTCGTGAGAGGGGGATCATCGGACTGGCATGGTTCTCTTTGATGGTACTACGTGTACTATCTCCCGGTTAGATCTCTGAGAGGTTCCTTGTGTCGTTTCGGGGGAGTTGTGGAGCTGCAGCAATAAGGCACGCTCGTCGCACACGGGTGGAGGGAGGTGCAGAGGCATGCCGGCGCAGGGAACGCATGGCCACCGCAGCTGCCTGTGCGTGATTCTGCAATTTCTGCCCTTGAAATTCTCGGACTCAAGTTTCGGGAGACATGGTGGGCACATGCATTCCTATATTTCCGGCAATCGGGTTGCAAGGTTAGTTGGTGAGGATGTATATACCCTATGCACCCGGAACCAGAAAGCTTCAAAATCAAACGTCTTCAGTCGAGAAGGTGAGACTGCAAAGAATTATCGCATTTCTCCAACTGCCTGAATCGGCATAAGTCGGCATAGCTTGTATGAAAGAAGATGTATACCCAAGAGTAAGAGGCCACTGACGACCCTAACACATTGCCTGAAGATGAAAGCAGAAACCCCCGAAGTCCTCACCGGACGGAGCACGCGCAGCACATCCCCGGCCACAGGAAATGCAGCAGCCGAGTGCGGCGACTGGATCGACAAGTCTTTCCTCAGCTTTTATTGTCTGGTTCGGTCTTCGGGCGGAAGAACTTACCCTAAACCCTCAACACAAACCTTGACCCAAATCCTAAACCCTAAACCCAAAGCGACTTGATGAACACTTGCGTTACCGTCTCTCAATCATCTCTCAGTCCAGCTTTCGGCTCCCTCCCGTCCCTCCCGGTCCTGCCCCCCTACTGCCTTGCACCTGAACAGACGGTTTTGGGGTTTAGGGTTAAGGGTTAACAGCGCATCCCAAAAACGAAAATCCCCAAACCCCGAAGCCACATGTAGACCCTAAGCTTCCAGAACCATGCAGCCGGCACCTGAACTCCCAAAGCTAGGAGGTGCTTCTAAAGCCTTTGAAAAATATTAAATAGTAGGTAAGATCCTCTTATGTCCAATAAGAGCAAATACAAGATGTCCCAAAGCCCTACTTGGAGGTTCATGGGTAGTTATAAGTAGGGCTATATAAGTAGGGTAACTAAACCCGAATTAGGACAATTATAACCCTACTTATAACCACCCCTGGTCCTCCAAGTACCTAGCAAAGAGATCTTGCCGAGTGTCAGCGTGCAGATGAGACCGAAAGGCGTCAGCCGCGCAGAGGAGCCCGGGCTTGCTGAGCTCGCGGAGGCCTCCTGTGAACACTTTAAACCCTACTCAGGGTCTATAGGGTTTAAAGGACGTTTCGGGTTTGCGGCTACAAAGGTTTAGTTTTGGGAACACTTTAAACCCGCTGCTCGAAATTATTGGCCCATTTTGGTACCCTAAACTATTTATACAGACCCCCCAAAACGGGCCCATAATTTTGATCAATCCCTTAGCAAGGACGAAGCCGCATTGCTAAGTTCGGGTAACAGCTGAAGGCGAACTCAGATTCAAAGCCAATTGCATCCCCTAATCAGTGTTTAAGGTCCAAAGGGTGCTTAAGGTTTATTTCTCTCTCTCTCTCTCTCTCTCTCTCTCTCTCTCTCTCTCTCTCTCCAGGGCACTCAGTCGCCTGCTAGGCCCTGCAACTCTCCTCCCCACAGAGCAACCCTGAATCTTGAACCACTTTTACCCCTGCTTGCTACTTTCCCCCTTTTTGCTACTTGGCTTGAGGACTAGCCAGATCCGCTCGACCTCTATCCACTTTCCACCTGAACCCTAAACCCTTTTTGCAACTGGCCACTTCTGCCGCTGCTGTCGCTGCTACTGCTGCTGCTACTTCACTCGTGCTCCTAGTTCCTATCCTGACCACTTTGACAGACCCAGCACTCGAAGCCCCTCAACCCGCAGTGTTCTCCCGGCTTCGCCTGGTTGCGAACGTCCGCTTCGAGACACATCTCCCGCAGCTTGCTGTGGAGAAGGATGGGCCGGGACACGTTCGATCTGGTGGGCTCGGATGTTTAAAGCTTTCGAGGGCGTTTGATTTCAGAAGTTCAGAGGTGTGGCCATCTCGGGCTTGGGCCATCATCTAGCGACTGAGGGACTGGGGATATGGACTTGTCGACATTTCCTGGTTTGGGGATTGAAGGGCTTGGTTACCTTCACAATAGCTTAGAGGCAAAATGAGCGCGCTAGTCGCATACCATCTGCACAGGTGCAGTGCAAAGTGGAAAACAAGTGCCATTCAAACTCGAAACGTTCTTCTTGCAATTACTGTCTGACCCTCATCTCCGCATGCGTCTGCGGTCATATACGCTTCATGGGCAGGAATGAAGGAGTTTTGTGCTTTTGGGTTCGGGCTTGGGGGCAAACCACGGTGACCTGAGATTAAGCAACTGAATTTAAACAGATCTCTCTCTGTCTCTCTGCCATTGCATCCAGACGAAACACACACTGGTATAGATTATAAAGATCAGGTAGATAATCGTGTCCATTATTTTGATCAACTAAGCAACCCCGTTGCGGTGCCTCCAGCCCAAGACGAAGACTTCCAGAGCCGTCCACCTCCTGGTTGTCGGTGCTTTTTTGGTTTCTCTCAAGGCTTTAGATATCTGGGAAATATCGAAGCATGTAAGGGTGTCGGACGCTTTATGCAGGATTCCGGTGTACAAGGTATTCAGAAGCTTTTTACGGACTGTGTAAAAAGTGTAGCTCCTCTATTGCATCCGCTTAGCTGCCCAGGACGCACTGCGTAAAACACGTCAGAAACGCTGTTCCAGGCTGCAAACGCAACGACCACCCTGTTCTTTCACCTACTGTTTTCGGCTCTCCTCCCCTTCAAGCCTCCACCCCTCAAGTCTCCGTTCCTGTTAGATAATTGAACACCTACCCCCAATAAATGCCACGAACATCGAACTCTTTTAGACAAACCCCCTAATCAGATCTTCCTACGTCTTTATGAAGCCCCGCCCGAATTGAGAAAAACCAATGATAAAGGCAACAACTCAAACCTTCAGCATCCTACGATGCCCTACGACTTCAGGGGTAGCTAGAAGTGGGGTTGTAAGTCCCCTACCGTAATATGGATTATAAGTATAGTTACCCTATACTTATAACCCTACTTATAACTACCCATGAACCTCCAAGTAAGCCCTAAGCCCTATAGAATCCCATAGATCTCCTTAAGGGGACCCTTAAAGGAACCCTCATAACTACCCATGAATCTCCAAGTAAGCCCTATAAACGATAGCCCCCTAAACCCTAAACCCTCAACGATAGCCCCTAAACTCTAAACCCCTGAACCTCTAAAACCTAAACCTAAACCCAAAACCCTAAACCCCTAAGACCCTAAACCCCCAAAGCCCTAAACCAAAAAAAGCCTTCCCCAGCCGAGGCACAGCTCCCAGTGGCCGCCTAGACTCGGCTCCGCCTCCGGCTGGTCCTCGTCGCCTGCGCTTTGAAAGCGACAGGACGCTGCGAGGGATTACTAGGGTTAATACTGTTTAAGGGTTTCGGGCTTAATTAGGGAAAGGACTACTACGAGGGACTACTAGGACCAGGGTTAATACGGTTTTAGGGTTTAGGGCTCAATTAGGGAGCTTAGGGTCTGGGGTTTACGGCTTTTCTTGTTTTTAAGGGCCCCTTTTCCGTCTGCAGGGTCTGCTACGGAAGTCTCCTGAGGAGACCGGCCGGGTTTAGGGCTTCGGGAGCTTAGGGTCTAGGGTTTAGGACAAGAATACGTTCGTTTTAATATCTGCTTCGGGATTTTTTGGTGATAGGGCTTTCCCATCTTTCCCACGGCTTTTTTTTTTCTAGATACTAGAGTAGAGGCAGTTGATGCTGCTCCCTGGGGGTGTTGTGAAGCTTCGGGCTTGGGGATGCAAAGGCCATCATAGGGGTACACAAAGATCCGTGGAGGGTTTCATTCGGAAAGGGTCTGGGGTTTGGGGGCTTGAGGTTCAGAGCTCAGTGCTTAGTGCTTTGGTTCCGGGGTTTTGGTGCAAAGAAGCTTTCCGTTTACGGTGTACTACGGAACAGAACGGCTTCTACAGGTGTGCACACATGCGAGTACATCAACCAAAACCCAAGTCCACATGCGACACCGGAGCACAGACGTGGCCTGAGAGGTCACCAGGCACAGAACCCTCCGAAACATCGGAGTCGGAATCCTCAACAACGGAGTCCAGCTCCTCCAAGAAGGGCTGCGGGGTTCAGGGAGTTCACGGTTCAGGGATCTTCAGGGCTTCAGGAGCTTTAGGCAGCTAAGAACAGGACGCGCGCCCGCGAGTGACGCCACAACAGGGCCTAACCGGCCTTACATAAGCCCAAGAGCAGTTGTGGAACTCAGGCGTTTGGACGAGTGTGGAGGCGTTTCGGAGATAGGAGCCTGGAGGAGAGGCGGGATGGAGCGGGGTTGAGGAAGCAGAAAGTAAGCCGGGAGCCTAAACTGACACCCTGATACGGCTTGAGCTCGGCCTGATCATACATGCCGTGCGCCCCGAACGCGAATCCCAAAACCCTTCGGACCCTGAACCAGCTTGATGCCTAAACATGTCTAAGTCTAAACTCCACGCTCTTCAGAAACTCTCAAACAACCCCAAAACCCTGCCTCGTCCCTTTCGGGCAAGGGCCCGTCCCTTGCAGACATAGCCTTGGCGGCCATGGTTTCCGCCCGGCTGCTGTCGTTCTATTTAGTGATGGCAACGCAGCTTAGGGTCTTGAGTTGAAGGTATACGGTGAAGTCCGGTGTTCACAGATGGTGGACGTTGAGCTCTGCCCAACACTCTCCGGCTACCAATGTTCTCTACTTTGCAATATCGTAACCATTACTCTTCTCTGAACCTAGACTTGGCCCATCAGCTGGGAAGCAGCACTGCCAGACTAAATCATCGAGGAAAGCATAAACCCAAACCTAAGCCCCAAGCCCGAAGCCCCAAACATCCCCAAACCCTGCACCCGTGGGCCCCCAAAGCCCTGAATGTGAGTTTCGGGACGGCAACAAGAGAACAATGGCAGTGACAGGAGGGCAGAGGGGGAGAAAGAAGGGAATGACAGAATGACAACAGCGACGGTGATGCTACTCATCACTCACTAGTCATTACAAGTGAAAGGAATCCAGGCATAAATCTTGAAATTGAAGCAAGCCGAGGTGCTGCCGGCCGGGCTGCCCATCCTTCGGCCAAACGAGTTCAGGAGTCAAGCCAAAAAATATTGAGGGGTCAGCCTGAACTCGTGCGGCAGTTCAGAGCATCTGCTGGGCTTTGGTTTCGATTTGACATGCACACGCAAATACGCAAGCACGCAAGCACACCCACAGACACCCACCCACCCATCCAATGTGCACGCGCACACACGCACACGCGCGCAACGACGCGCGCACACACACACACACACACACACATAGACACCGATGCACACAGAGAGACAAACCCACTCAGGAACACTACGCGAAGTTCAAGAGGACAATCAGACAAGTGAAAACTGAAAACTGAAAACTGAATCCGGCCGTCATATCCTCTCAGGCCAAAGCCCAAACTCCGATCCATGAAGCCAAACACTAAACCCTATCCTTACCCATAAGCCCCAAAGTAGTTCCTTTTGAGCATTACTATATCGGATTCTATATATGAACCACAGAAAAGAACTACTATGGGGCCTTGGGGTAGTCACAACCCAATCCCCTAAACCTTAATCCCAAACCCCAACGTCATCCCCGGCCTCTCATCGCGCACTTCCCCAGCTCCTCCCGAAAGCATGTGAGGATGTCCGGATAGGGCAGGTGGATCCTCAGCAGAAAGGAAAGGATTCTGTGCGCAAAGCAGCTATGCAAGGAACAACAGCAAATACATGTACATACTGCTCTGGGAAAGCAGGCAGGAAGGCAGGCACGAGGGAGGCAGGCAGACAGACGGACGGAGGGACGGACAGAAAGACAGGCAGGCAGAGAGAGAGAGAGAGAGAGAGAGAGAGCGCGCGCACGAGCGAGATTGATTGATTGCGTGTGCAATCAAGACATAGGGCTTGCTGGCTGTTCGGGCTATGCAGTCAATACTAGTGACAGTGGCAAACCCGATTACGCAAACCGACAAAGCTATCCTTACCTGGCCATGTGGCTGCAGCTCTGACAGCTGCTGCCGCTGATGCGCCGAAGCCTCACAAGAGCGCTTGGGACGGTCTGGGGTTTAGGGTTTGCCGGCGATGAAACGATGGGAACCTGCAAAGCTCGCAAATTAACAAACATTCTTAAGCTAAGAGTTTCAGGGAGCACTTTGACGACTTGTACTTCGAGGTCCATGGGTAGTTATAAGCAAGGCTATAAGTAGGGTAACTATACTTAGACCCCATATTCGGGGACTTACAACCCCACTTATAACTACCCCTAAACCTCCAGGTATAACTAAGGTGTTGCTTCAGTCAAGCATGTCTCGCTACCGGCCTTCAGCGCTAATCGTGCCCCAGGGATCAGTGGGCTCGACCTTGCAATACAGTGGTCACTCGATCGCGCAGTCGGCTACCCTAAAATGCCTGAAGCCCCCATCAACGCACGGAAGAAGGTCTGATATAGGGGCCTTAATAATTAGAATAAGGTCTTGGAGGCCCATTATACTGTAATTAGAGCAAATCCCCAAAACAGCATAATTAGTTATTGAGGCCCCTATATTTAGGCCATGACCGCAGAGAGATCTTCGCCAAGGCTCCGTTCAAGCACTTCTGTGATGAGGGTGCGGTGTTTGTGGCGGTAGCTGGCCTCCCGGTGACTCCAAGGGGCCCCTTTAATTCAGGCATATGGCTCGGGGTCCTTTCAAGAGATCTATAACGGAATACGATCTCGAATATGATTTAAGCTCGGGGTCCTTTAAAGGGATCTATAAGGGCTCTACAGGGGAATAGGATCCCGAATATGATTTAAGCTCGGGGTCCTTTAAAGGGATCTATAAGGGCTCTAGTGTACAAGGGAATAGGATCCCCAATATAATTTAGGGTATATGCCTTAATTGAGGGGTTTGGGGGGAGAGTTCGGTCGTAAGGGCTGGAAGGTGAACGCCACCGACAACGCACACCCTGGAGCCAAAACCCTGACGGGTTCAGAACTTCAGGGTTAGAGTAACAGAGAGATGTAGACAGTAACGTATAATATATATATATATATGTTTGTATATACTCTATATATATATGTGTGTATATATATATATATGTGTGTGTGTGTACACATATATATATATATATATATATACATATGTGGTACAGTTCTTAGGCTTTTGCAATGAAGGGCTCGAGGCTTTCTATGCAGATTTTACAGGACCTGAAACTCTTGACGGCCTCCAAAACTGAGGCTCTAAATGGGACTGAGAGCTGGCTTAAACTCTAAACTGATGCCAATCCACGTCCCCTGAAACCCTAAGTCGCAGCGGGCCTTACGCACCAGGTTCAGGTAGATGAAGTTCGGACGCCGGCCCAAGGATACGAGAGCACGATGGGCGGCATAGACCCACCTTTTTGTTGGGCACATCAGGCCCGGATGGAAAGACAGCATTAATTCAATGTAGTTTGCCGCCGGATAAGCAGATTCACAGGCTCATAGACATCGCACTGGTTCACCTTATGTGCCTGATTACTCTTCTTGTGCTACGTGTTCTAACTCCTGGACTTGGCGATGTGACTGGCAAACCTGTCGTATACTCTTGCTCTGCTAGAAACGCTCAACCCTCAGCCGGGCCCCCTGCCAAAAGCGCACCACCACGCTTCGCTCCGCCGGCGAGGCGCGCCGAACCTTCCGGGTTTGGGGTTTCAGGGTTCCGGTCTGTCCTGCATAGGGCATCCGATGCAGAAGGTGTCTCAGAGGGCTTCATACTGGCAGCTGCTGTAAAGCTCGCTACGACCTGGCCTTCGCATGTAATGAGGTTTGACGACTTTTTCCCCAAGAAAAACTTTAGAAGAACGCTCGTCCGCCTCTGGGTCACAGGGCCGCAAGTCCGGATACCACTGGAAGGCCGTATCCCAGGCCCACCAGTTGGCGACGCAGCGGCGTACATACCTGGAGGCGATGTAAGGTTCTCTTTCGACTCAGGGCAAAAGGGCAAAGAGCCAAAGCGAGAAGAGATACGCTGTGGCGCTTTAGTTCAAAATGTTCAAACGCTTCAGGCTTTGGGTTCGAAGTTCTGGATATAGAAATGGGGCCTCCTCAGGCTCGAGGCAATGTAACCTTTGGTGCTTCAGGGTTGAAAGCATGCAACGCGTTTCGGGGCTTCGGGGCTTCTCCCCAAACCCTAAACCCCGATACCCTAAACCCAATTATTCGGGTGTCGGTCTGGGATTCGGATCGAGGTCAGGAGTCAGTCCCGATCGGGTCTTAGTCTTAGTCTCTCCTCTGCCTTCCGACTGCTCTAACCTAGGGTCCGCCAACAAGTACCTAGCATATTTGCTAGCATGTTACGGAAGCATCATAGGGACCTTCGTTTAGACCACCTCCGGTGGTGACCTTTCAGATGCCGGAGAGGCACCGTCGCCCTCATCATCATTGACAATGGAGCCGTTACGCCCCGCAGACAAATCATGAGCCCTGGTCGAGGTCATCACCACCATCTAAGGCAGTATGTCATGTGATCCCCGGGCCTGAGGCAGCGAAACTGCATGTCGTCCACAATCACGCGGATGGGCCGCACGTTTATCGTCCACCTGAGGCTTACACTCTTACAGCTCCGGTGGTCCTTGTAGGCTGGAAGGGGGGGAGGCTTGAGGGCTGTCGGAGCTTTATTACCGTGGCATTAATAACTAGAATAGGGTTTTGGGGTATATTATACTACGTATCATTAGAATAAGGAACCCCTGGAATAGTATAGGATAGTATACATTAGGGCTTTAGGATTAATTTGGAATGTCGGAAATAAGAGCTTGAGGTCTCCCCGCGAAGGCTTGAGCCGTTTGTAGCTTTTCGCTCCGTCTTCGAGAGTTCCGAATTGTAGCCTAGACAGGTTTGCCGCGGATACGAAGCTTGAACTGACCACCTCCGTCAGAATAACTCTTGCTCGGCAAAGCTGTAGCACCATGCTCGGCAAAGCTGTAGCACCATGTTGCATTTCTTATCGCTGCCATTGTAGTTAACAGAGATGTGTCGCCCATGTGAGCAGGATTAGCGCGTCATTTGCTACATATTGGAGCAGGAGAAGCAAGAGCAGGAGCAGGAGCAGCAGGAGCAGGAGAGGAGCAGGAGCAGTTGCAGGAGCAGTTGCAGCAGCTATCGTTGCAGCGGCACCAGCAGTTGTTGTTGCTTCTGTTGCTGCTGGTGTTGTTGTTGCTGTCGTCATCGCAAAAAACAAGCGATAGGTAGCAAGTTGCCCTCGGTGTTGCGAGTGGCGACACATTGCTTTATTGCTACATACGGGAGTTTCCGAAAATATGGGACCCCAATTTGGCACCATAAATAGTAGGATCCTTATTATAAGGATCCCACAATAAGGTACCCCTGATTTTCGGAAACTCTAAACCCTTATAGAGCCCTTTAAAGGAACCCTTATAGTACCCTTACAGTAACTCCTGATTTTCGGAAACTCCCATACTCTCAGCGCTGCCAGTCCTCACACCTCTATCCTTTTGTCACAGCGCTGGAAGCCTCAGGCCTCCCCCTCGCTCTCTGCCTGTACTTGAAGCCAACCCAAAGCCCACCGTCGAAAAGAAATAGAAACTTAAACCCCTTTTTACAATTCTTATTCCTTCAATCAAATCTAGCTAGCCGGAGCTCGAACCCTAATCATCTTGAATTAGGCCGACACGCAAGAACCAAGACGGGAGCTGCGGAGAGACTAAGCACTGCCCTCATGACGCTGTCAAACGAGTACTCTAAGCAGCCACGATTCCTGCACAGTTTCAGAAAAGATCCGGAATGCAATGCAAAGTTGGTATGCACCGTAATTTAATTCTAAACTGCCGACTCCACACCCCAACCCCGGATACTGAACCTTCAACCCAAAACCCTTAACGAATCCTTCGAAGAAGCCTTGCATTACAGGAACCCTGCAGCCTCCTGCGTCCCAAGTCCAAGTAGCTCCCAGGCGTCCACCTGCGAGGAATCCGAGCCAAAGAGTTGGCTCTCGATGTCCACCGATCGGGAGGCCGATGCTGAAGGCTCGTCCTGCTACTTTAAAGTTCATAGAGTTGCCTGAAAGTTTTCTACAAGGGGTTACGGGTTTTTGATTGGGGGGAGAAGGTTTAATTTAGGAGCCTGAGTGATCTCAATCCAAAGCAGGAGGGTTCTTAAATTAGGCTTTCGGGGGTCTCTTGGGATTTGAGGACGACAAAGCTTTTAAGGTCCAGGGCCTCAGGGCTGAACCGCTTGAGTACTTTAGGCCTTACTCAATGTATGGTTTAAGGATTCGGGTCCCCGGTCTTGCACGGCGGAATTCTAGGTGACGAGTTTAGGGTCTAGGAAGGAATCTAAGGTCTCTAGGGAGGTTCGGGTTTGACCTAACCGAAACCCGTTCCCGTCGCTTGCTTATTTGAGGCTTCAGAGTGTAGGGTTCAGGTTTACGAAACCACGCCGAAACACTCGAAAGCCCTGAAACCCTCAACGCAAAAGCTTCCTTGCGCAAGACTGCCCGGAGGGGTGCAAGCAGCCGGCTCTCAGTCGAGGGCTTCTTGATCGGCTCCTGCTGCAACGCAGTCCAGGGACTCGCAGGTTTAGGTTACCAAGCTCTGGTTAGTAGGGAATGGAGGAATGGGGTACAAGTATAACTACTATTACTACCATTCTTCCATTCCCTACTAACCAAAGGTAAGGTTAAGGGCTTTCGGGGTTGCAGGATGGAGGTCCCCCACATGGGTGGTTGTCAAAATTAGGGGCCCTTCTTGGGTCCTTATTATAGTACGGCACCTAGTATTTAAGGCACCCGAAAATGGGGCATAATTTTGACAACCACCCACATGTTTTTTTTTGCCCTGTGTTTTAGAGTTTACTGGCTCGAAGGCCCGTCAAACACTAGGGGCCCTTCGCTTCTTTCGCTGCGATTCACGAGTTCATACGGGAGGCCTTGATAACTACAGTTACACTGAAAGACCCTAAGGAATAGGACTGCTAATTATTCAGGCTGGCTGCTCTACATTGCGGCATACTATGGTTTAGGAGCTCAGGCTTTGAAGACTCCACAGCTTGGGAGAGTCTTCAAGTGAGGATAAGCTTATGGCTTTTAGATTTTGGCTATGGATGTAGGGCGGAAGGGGGCTTGGTGGCTTCGTGCCTCGGGGGCTTTTAATCACAAAGATAGAGGTAGGACGGATGCTGCCTCAAGTCCCCGACTCCTGCTCCTCATGCTAGAAAAGCACACCCTACTTCTGCAAGCCAGAGCCCCAAATAAAAGTTTCCCCGAAAAGAGGGGACCCTAATCTTGCACCCTAAATAGTAGGATCCTGATTGTAAGGAGCCCCAAATAACGTACCCCTAATTTTCGGAAACTCCCAAATAAAAGCTCTATAGGCGTTCGATCTGAGGACTTGAACCGTCTTAGTAAGAGCCATTCTTAGGAAACCTGTGGCAGGTTCGGGTCACCTCTGCCACCTGGGTCTCCGCCGGGCTTCCACGCACCACCACCTGCTGCACCTCGGAGCTCTTTGGGTTGATTTGGGAGTTTCCGAAAATATGGGTACCTTATTTTGGAACCCTTATAATAAGGATACTACTATTTGAGGTACCATATTAGGGTCCCCTATTTTCGGAAACTCTCATTTGCATATTTCTTCTGCGAGGGGCCGTGAGGATGTTGTGCCTCTCGGGGAAGCGCTCAATGCGCTTCATCAGTGCAAGCGGATCTGGTGGATGGTCGTCCTCTCGTCGCCGGTATAAGCTTCGGGGCTTAGGCACAGCTTCGGGAGCCAGCAGGGTTAAGAGCCATTTTGCATCAACACTCGCATGCTGGTACAGTACGCGAGGCAGTTCCAATGGTGATTAATAAGCATTCAATGTAGCTGGATGAGGGTTTAGGAGCCTTCAGACAGAATGATCTGCACGCCCAGTCCTGCATCACACCCTCAACCACAAAACGAACAAGCCTTGTTGCAAGCGGCTTGCAACGCCCCTGAACCCCTGGCATCCCCTAACCCTGGACCTACCTAGGCACCTGCCCCCCCAAACCCTAAACCATCCTAAACCCTCAACCCTAAAGCCTAAACCCGACATCCTCCATCTTCGCAAAGGCCCAGGAGCGAAACCGCTCGGCGCAGGTCAACCGGACCATCTTGTTCACAGTCCTGGGTTCCCAGAGACTCAAATATCCCCTAATTAAGGAATGTTTCTTAAATTATAGTAGGATCCCTAATATGAGTTAAGGTATATTCCCTAAGAAAGGGATATTGGAGTCTCTGGGTTCTCGCCTGTTAAGGAGCGTAAGGCAAGTTATCATAATGTGCCGTAGTAGAGAGGGCATGTAGTTATCATCCTATGCCATAGTAGAGTCAGAGACAGCATGCTTTCTCAGCTTTCTTCACTAAATTTCCCTGTTATGGCAACTAAAACGACTCTACTGATCAAGAAACCCAAGAGTCCTGTTGGGCCTCCATCCAGACATGGAGGTTCGCCTGCTCCTCAGCCGGTCTGGACTAGGACGTCGGCTGGGTGACTGGGGGTTTAGGGTTTAGGGGTTTCAGCACTCACACTCGGACAAGCCTAGGCGAGGTTCTCAAGTCCGCATCAGGCACATATGGCCCCAAGCCAGCGCACATTTAGGGGTTTGGGGTTTGGGGTTTCCGGAGGTCCTTTTGTTGTTTTTTAACTTGTGATGGTTGGTCTTTGTCTTTGCCACGCCTGCGCGAGGAGGGCTTGGGGTTTTTGGTCTCTCAACTCGGACAAGCCAGTAAGGTCTCAAGGTCGCAGCAGACAAATTCCGCAAGTGAGTGTCAGGAGGCCAATCGACTAAACGCCTCCATACTCCGCATAGAATTGCGGCACTCTCAGTAACTCTACACCCCTTATATAATATTCTCTTGGGCTTTATGTGAACAAGCATACGAAATAATTCCCTGGGATATTAAAATTATGGAGTAAGGGAGCCAGCCAAGGTTCGCATTTGCCGCTGCAAATGGCTCGGCGTAGAGCGACCAGCGGGTCAGCTGCGCGCTGAAGTGGCGACCCTGGTGCCGATGCAGCTTCACGCAGTCCACCTGACAACGACAAGCCGCCGTTGAAAATGTTAGCTTTGCTTTGGCTCGCGGCTAAGCGCTAAGGCTGCAGCCATCTACTCCTTGAGCCTGAGCCTTTCCGGGCTCTGAAATGTGTGAGATAGAAGTCAGGGCTTTGGGGGCTTCGGGGATGGCTGCGGGATTACGGGTCCGTTCGAGTTTTAGTAACCCTCATCGTAAACCCTTGTCATACCATTATAGTAAGCAGCTGCTCAGGCAGAGACTGCTGATGGACAAAATCCTGCATGACCCTAGGGACTCTAAACTATGGGAACTATGGTAAATTCCCTATAAAGGGTCATGCAGGATTTTGTCCATCAACCGGAGGGCTGTTAGTTTGATTTGTTTTTTGTGGGTCGTGCCTTGACTCCGAGGTTCAGGCAGCCGTGGCCAAGCAAGCCCTCATGATCTTCGAACTGCACCATGACATTGTGCACGTTCATGTCCTGGGCTTTGGGTGAGGTTTTTTTTTGAACGGCCCTTTTCCTCCTCGCAATGGGTGAGTAGGGTTCTCGGGTTTAGGGGTTTTGGGCACTTATTGGGGTGGTAGAGTTGGGCTTTTGGGGGACTTTGGAAAATTAAAGAGCCTACGCCTACGGCGTCTGCGGGTCTGCAACATGTTCAACATACGTTTCGGATGACCCCCGTAAATACAACTACTATGCTGAGGTCCTGCTGCACCCTATAAACTACCCAAGTGACCCTAAGAGCCAGGCGTCCACATGGCGTACAGAACTGTCTTGCAGCGCCATCCGCAGCCTGCGGAAGCCCTGCGCCACAGCCGTGCCAACTTTGTAACGAGCACCTCCCGAGCTTTCTTGGCAACCTAAAGTGAAGTGATCGGGATCTGCAACTCCAGGGTTTAGGATCTTTACGCTTCGTGGGCTCTGGTGTGAATCGGTGTTTGGGCTGCTGAGGATCTTCGGTGTTTGCCTTTTCGGGTTATTTGTTGGGACCTGTTAGTGCGGACGCTTCATTTGGCCCACAAGTCTGTTGTCTTCTGTCTGAACACACTTGTCGTGAGCCTTGCTTGCCGTGAGTGAGTTGCGAGAGCCAGACAAACCATAAACACATGCAGATCTTTGGAGGATTTATAGCTCAAGGGTGTAAATTTGGGTACAGGTCTACGGTTAGTGTCTACGATTTAGGGTTTACGGCTTCCTCCAGGGGAACTTGCAGCAACTAAGAACACAACAGAACTGACCAGAACATGTGTGACAGAGCTGGGGTCCGGTTGGGCTCAGAAGACCCTAGCAAAAATGCAATCCGATTGCATCCATCGAGCTCAACACTCATGCCTTGCATATCCTATCCAGCCCATGTCCAGGTTCCCCCCGCGCGAGCCTTTGATCAAGTTCTGGCCCATCTGCCGGAAAGTCTTTCGCGGCCTGGCAGGGCCAAAGCTCCACCAAAAGCTCTTGAGGGTCAGGGCACAAGAGCTGCATTTAGCATGTGGGTGGCTGTCAAAACTGGGCACCTATTATAATACGGCACCTATGATTTAGGGTACCCCAAAAAGGTCCCTAATTTTGACAACCGCCCATATGGGCTACGGTCTACCGGGAAGACAGCCGCAGGAGGAGATGACCTTCGCTGACGCTCGCATCAATCACACATCCCCTGTCTTTCAGCTGGCTTGCCACGTGCTTTGGGGGCACTAGTCACTCGCTTAGCCGAAACAGCGTTCCCAAATCTCTGCTCTGCTCTAGGGTTCTTTCGTGCCTCCAAACGAAGAATTCGAATGCTGTTCGAAGTTGGGTTTTGGGCTTAGGGTTTAGGGTTTTTTGCCACCCGCCCAGCTAAAACAAATGTCGCGGTTTTGGGGTTTAGGGGTTTAGCGGCACCCCACCTCGAGCCCAAGGAGTCCGCCGAGACTACCGCTGGGTCTGCTGCCGTGGGGAAGGGCACGGTGAGGCGCTGGCAGATGAGGTCGATCACCCGGCTCCTTACTTAGAGGTTCATGGGTAGTTGTAAGTAGGGTAACTATACTTATAACGGAAACTTAGATCACCCGGCTCCTTAAAGGGCCCATAGCAGGCTTTAGGGTTAAGGAATCAAAGATCCCCGGCTCCGTAAAAGGCCCAAGACTCAAGATGTTACAGGTTTACGCATGTTACTGGTTTAGGGCTTCAGGGTTCAGGGTTTAGGGTTTACCTTAACGCTGAATATCCTACCTTTTTAAGGACTCATATGAGGACATCATAATAAGGAACACCAGAAAGGTAGTTAAGGGTTGATGAGAGCCTTTTGGTGTTTAAGGCCCGGCTCCTGAAAGTCCGCGGTTTAGAAGAGTCTTACGGGGCCGAATAGGACCGCCATGGCTGCGTAGACAGAACTGATTTCCTTGAAGTAAGCAGAACTGATTTCCTTTGAAGGATTAGGAAACGTACCTTTTGGGGTCTAGGTCTAGGGCGCAGGGCTTCAGGTTGGGATCCTCGGTCCTGTGTCCGTATGATCAGGGTAGCAAGAGGCCGAAAGTGCCTAACACCCAATATGCACAAGATCTTTCAAGATCTTTCAACAGTGCCCGAGCATCTTCGCCGCCCGAACGCTGTCGTACCTGAGCGGTCTTGCGTTCCAGGAGTCCCGGACTTGGATTTCGAAGGTGCCAAAACTTGCCCCAAGAAACTGAAGCCCAATACCATTACTTGGTAGGTCTGTATGCCCTGACAACACCTCCCTCTCTCCCTCCCTCCTGAGTCCCTCCTTCTGCCTCACCTTGTCCTCTTTCTTCTCTTCTTCTTCTGGAAGGAATCTCTCTCCCCGCTCTCGCCCTCTCCCACTCTCTCTCCACCCCAAGCCCCAAACGCCTTAATCTTTCCCTCTCTGCTCCGAGTCGCTGCCAGTAGCTGCCCGGCTCGCCTTCGCCCGCCTCGGCTAGGCCTGGGCCCGGACCAAAGAGCCTCGGCGAGGTGCGTTTAGGAGAGACGCTCGTCGCCTCCCCAAGCATCCCGAAGCCTAGACATCTCCCAAACCCCTCCTTTTTTTGAAACCGGACTGGATGACTGCCAGAACTCCTTAAACCCTAAACCCCTCATTCCAGCTCCATCAGCCCGGGGGCAGCAGCATGTTCTTGATCCGGATCTTCGTCCGACCCCGGACACGGGGAGCGAAGGTCAGAGGCCGACCCAAGTCCTAGGAAACTTGCGGTGTTCATATGGGAGTTTCCGAAAATTAGTGGTACCTTATTTTGGGGGGTCCTTATCATAAGGATCCTACTATTTAGGGTACTCCTATTTGCGGAAACCCCCATATAGGGTCCGAGTTCAAGGTTCTACTGGGGTTTTGGCAGGCATCGTCATATCGTATGTCATTTCAGACAAGACAGATCGGGAATTGGGAATTGATCCCAGGTTGAAACCCCGCTCATTCGCAGCGCCGGCCCAAGACCAAAGCCAGAGCAGCACATGATGATTGCGTGATTGCGTTACAAGTGTCGAGTCGCCCGCCGATGTCTACTCACTACCACTGAACCCAGTCTGGCCCAACGCTGGGAAGTGCGTGATATAGTAGGGTTTTATCATACTACAGCTCCAATAGGGAACCCCCTAAAATTGTATAATTAATGATAAGGCCGCCAATAAGGCCCTTATATGGCGTGGTCGGATTGTGAGGCTCTTCCGCGGCCGGCCTTCGTGGTGTCGGAACTGAAGAAGTCGATGAAGAGGTCCTGGAGGGCTCAGGCAACAACTCATCTTCGACAGTACTATAGGGGCCTTACTACTTAGAAAAAGATTTAGGTGCCATTATACTAATTGAGCCCCAAACAAATATAGGTAATTACTAATTAAGGCCCCTGTAGTAGGTGAAGAATCGTGTTCCCGGTCTGGCGGTGCGCCAGAAGCTGTGACTCACCGGATCGCAGACCCAACATTACTCAAAAGTGGGTTTTCGATAATAGGGGACCCTGATCTAGTATCTAGTACCCTAAATAATAGGATCCTTATTATAAGGACCCCAACCAAGGTATTTTGGAAACTCCTATATCTCTGACTCGCGATTTCCTAAGGAGGCTATGGGTTCAGCAAGCCAGTACTGTATGGCACAAAGTTCAATCCCTTATAAAACCCGACAGCTCTGCAGCTGCAAAACTCACAAAAACCAAACCGGGTAGATGGAGTCGAACTCCTCGATAAGGCCACCGGTCACGGTGACCGGCAAGTGCAGCTGCGCAAAGGCTTCCGGTTTCAGGCTCGCCTTCTGAATGTGGATCCTCGGTTTGGTCTGCTCAGATAGGGCCCAGTGCTCACCTTCAGGAATTATGTTTAGGGTTCAGTCGTGTTACAGTTGCGGAGGGCAGTATTCAGAGCTCAGTTTGGAATCTGAGGGGTGGCTAGGTTTCAAGGGTTTGCGGCGCCTTGGGCCAACAGCTACTGTAGTCAAACCAGCCGACTCCAAGCAGTGAACCGGAACTCTCCGAAAGCAGCTGCCCAGGCGCATAGAGCCGGGTAGGTCTACCTTGACATTTGTCGGCGGAACGTCCACCAAGGTGCCAAACTTCGCCATGAAAATTTGCATCGCCTGACTCAACCGCCCGGTTCGTGAATGAGCCTGAAGCAGATGATGACACCATCATCAACAGCAACACGGCAGTGGCCACTGTTGCTGATGATGATGATGATGATGATGATGATAGTCATAAGGATAGTGATGATGATGATGATGATGGTGATGATGGTAAGGATCATGAGAAGGATGAGGATTATAATAACCAGGATTAGGAAGTGTATTGGGTAGGCGTTTAGGATCGTTTAGGTGCAGAACGATTCAGGTCCGGCTGCCTTGGCACTCATCACGCTGTCCGCATCGAACTCACTCGCAGAGACCTGTTCTGAATCCGTTCATCACACGCTGTTCTCAGGGAGTGAGTCCAGAGGTGTACGGCACTTCATCTGTGGGGTAATTTGTCGTGGATGGCTACAAACAGCGAGTACACGTATCTAAGCCCGAGAGCATTGTCGGCTGGGTCAACTGCCGAATAGCCAAGAGGGACGACAAGAACTCAAGGAAGCTAGTCAGGACGGAAACCTTAAAGCCAAACAACTCCAGCCGTGTCGGTCGCATGACGCGGCATGAGCTACTACGCTTACTACTTGTATCCAAACCTGGTGCAGGGATGAACGGTCATGAAATAGACTAGCCTATAGTCAAATACACCATATGTAAATCATATGCAACAGTATACAAATACATGTCATTCTGAATTTCTGAGTCTGTATGTACATAATAAACAAAATATGTATATAAGACGATCTGGCAAATAAAAACCTTATAGTGAACCCCTTCGGAGAGGCCTTGAGCTGGATTCCCAGAAGTCGAATGCAGCGGTGGAGCAGCAGAAGGGTGGCCGTGGCTGCGGCCACGGCCGTTGCTTCGGCTTTGGAGGAGGCCAGGTACTGCGTGTACCAGGAGGCGTAGAAGAGGCACCAGGTGCCAGCGGTAAGCACAAAGAACTCCAGCTTGTTGAAAAGAGGCCGGAAAAAGATCTCTCCACCCTGTGCCTTCGTCCTTATGAGGAATTCGCAGCCGAAGGCCACCAGGAGCACGTAGCCCAGAACTTGGGAAGTGCGTACGAAGTCGAAAACTTCCGCCCCGCAGTAGATCAAGGAGGCAAGCAGGAAGAGCAGCTGCGGGACTTTCCTGTCCACCATGCGCTGGATTTTCACGACCAACCGTGCTCGATGCTCTTGTAGCTTTTGTTGGTACTCATCCATCCAAAGCTTGTTCAGCTTCGCCCTCAGCCGTCTTTGCTGAAGCGTCTGATGCACAGAGACGCCATGCAAGTCCCCCCAGGTGCGCAGTGCGCGATAGGCACAAAGCACCAAAACGGTGGCCTTGTCCTGATCCGACACCATAGCCGGAAGGTCGCCTTGGGCCTCAAGCCTTGGTCTTCCCAGAGACTACAAAAACCCTTAATTAGGGATTATACCTTAAATCAGATTAGGGATCATACTGGCGAATTTAAAGTATATTCCTTAATTAAGGGATATTGGAGTCTCTGGGTTCCGGCTTTCATTACTGGACTTTGAAGTGACCGGGCAGACAAAAGCATAGACTTTCATGTCAAAATGGTTCCCTTGAAGTAACAGGCCCCCAGAAAAGTACTAAAGTATGGTACTCCGAAGCCCAGATTAGGTCTTGGAGATCAAGATCCTGACTACGGAAGAATGGTAATGAGCTAAGAGTGTACAATGTAGCGACATCAACAAGTCTTCCGAACATGCACATAGGTACCTCTCTTAAGCCAGGAGCCCCGGTTGTTGATTTATATTCCTGGAAAGCTGAGAAGCGGGAACAGAAGGGGGTCTCTATGTAAGGGTGACGTACTAGTTGGGGGCCTACAAAGGGATCCCAGTTAAGAGAACTGCCCCTGAACTACGCCCAAGCAGCAAGCTCCTTGTAGAAAGGACTCCTAAAAATCGGAATAACAATAACTCAACGGGGAAAAGGAGGGACCCTTAATGGGGACCCCTACCCTATAATGGGCTATATAATGGGAGGTAAGATTGCCTCTTCTGGGAGTTTCCAAAGAGTTTGCACCCTGCTGCTGCTAGAAAGCAGCAGCATCCTGGTTGCAAGCAACCCCCAAGAAGGGCCGTGGAAAAATCCCAAAATGTCTCTAATCAAGGCCTCCAGGAACGCATCTTACAAGCAAACCCCCAAGAAGGGCCGCAAAAAAATCAGAAAAATGTCTCTAATCAAGGCCTTCAGAAAACGCCACTTTAAGGAGCTAGCAAGAAGGGCCTTTTAAAAATTCCCAGACAATGTCGCTACTCAAGGCTTCCAGGGAACGCCACCTTAAGGAGATAGATACTCATGCCGCCACGGTAGGCCATGAGTGCGAGGACCAGGGCCTCCAGCTGGTGATACCTTGCTCTTTAGGGTTTTTTTCCCTCCTACCTCTCTTTGGGGTTTAGGGTCTAGGGTTTAGGGTGGGTTTAGGGTTCCAGCTGGTGATACCTTGCTCTTTAGGGGTTCATATAAGGGCCTTAATAATTCGAACAGGGTTCCTTTTGAAGGGATCCCTTTAAAGGGGTCTAAAAGGGGTCTATCTTGGCTTCTGGGTTTTTTTTGAGCTCCTTTTTATGTCCGCCCATCATCCAGGCTTAGGGATTTAGGGGTTCAGGGGTGTGGGGCTTTAGGGGTTAGGGGTCTAGGGGGTTAGGATTTAGGTTTTCGGGGTTTAGGGTTTCGGCGCTCACACTCGGACAATCCAGACGGTTTAGGGGTTAAGGGTTTAGGGGTTAGGGGTTTAGTTAATAAGAGGGTTCTATGATATAGCGGAAATTATAATTAGAATAGGGTTTTGGGGCCCATCTTACTATAAGTATAATAAGGAAACCTCACAATGGTATAGGTAATTATTGACGTCCCTATAGTAGCTTGAACTCGGACTCGCCTGGCTGATTTCGATTTTAATTAAGTTTTGACACTCACACTGGGGCAAAGCCGCAAAGCCAAGCAAGGTCTGTAGACTTTAAGGCTTTAGGGTCACCGGTCCTTTACCCCTTTCGGTTTGAGCTTGATCGTTCAAGGGTTCATAGGGTCTACCCGAGCTGGGTTCAGAAGCGCGTGGGGTTCGAAAACGCTAATTTTGTTTCAGCACGGTTTGGGGCTCGAGCGGTTGGTAGTCCTGAAGGCCTACACCGGCCAGAACCCTTTTAACTCGAAAGCCAGCCCTGTCTGCTGCGGGTTAGAGGCAATGGTATCATCACCTTCCGCCAAGATCGCCACCTTGCGCAGATATGTATGCCCTCACAGAACCATAGAACCCTGTAGAAAAAAGTGTCCTATCGTACCATTCTTGTACCCAGGGCAAGCTCTTCTGTCAAGTCCACTGGGCCGTGCTTTGCAGTCACCACAGACGAAAATATTTTTTTACGAAATGGCTCTTTGCGGGAAAAGCGTGGGGGAGGATCTTTCTAAACCCCTGGCCTAACATAGGGGCCCCAATAATTTCCAATACTGTTTTGGGGGCTCCGTGTTACAATTTTTTTTCTAACTAAGGCCCCTATATGGCAGTTTCCGAAAATGGGGGACAACAATATTCTACCCTAAATCCCAGAATAAGGTACCCCTGATTTTCGGAAACTCCCACATTACCGATATGTCCCACCTGAGACCGGGCCCCCGGCTGAGGCGGACGACGCGAAGCGATCACTATATTAAGTATATTCGCTGAGCTGTTTCTGACTAAGTGTCTCCTCCTCCTCGTCCTCCAAGGCGGTGGTGTCTGCACTGCGAATGCTGTTTTCGTAGCTTCTGCTATGGATCACAACAAACACTTATCATGATCGCAAGCCTTGCGCATTTGTTCATCAATCTGGCTTGCCAAACTCCTCCCGCCTCCAGAGGGGGCCACCCTGTGCGGAGACGCGGACAGCCACCTAAGTCTGAGGAATGCAGCAGTGTCAGCATACAAGGATGCAGGCTATCATGGGATGGTGATGGTGATGATGATGAGGATGATGGTGATAATGGTGATGGTGTTGATGGCGGTGATGATGTGGATGGTGATGATGCAGGTGATGAGAGATGAAAGATGATGATGGTGTCGGTGACGGTACGGGCGATGGCGATGATGCGTAATGGTGGGTGAGGCTAGCTATTATGGTGATGATGATGGTGGTGGTGGTGGTGGTGGTGGTGGTGGTGGTGGTGGTGGTGGTTGTTCGATGTTGATACTGATGACGAAGACTACGGTGGCGATGGTGATCATGATGAGCTCTGGGTGGTTTAGGTCAAAGTATGTTTCGACAGCTGCCGACCTCCGTGACAGTCATGACCGCCAGGGGTCCGCCTGTCACCCAAACCTTGGCACTCTGAGCCCACAGTTCAAGAGCTTACAGTCCCAACTTTTCAAGATTTAACCGGAGCCATAAACATGTTGGAGGATATGGCCGTTTTTGCACCTTCTGGGACAGGGAGTGCCAGAGCTCACGAAACCCCAAGTCCGCCATCAAAAACGAGAAGACGTGCTAAAGATCAGCCAGCGGGCCCAGATCACGAAATCAAGAAGCTGCCGGAACATCCCGGGCCCCAGCATGTAGATGGCACAGTGTGCAATGGTAAGGACCCAAAAGATCACCGCCGCCGCCTTCGATGTGATGAAGACCTGGATCCTGGAGCATCTGTTCTTCGGGGGCCCCACGCTGACCACAGAGTGGCTGCTCGCGCGATGGCTGCCCCTCATGGTGCTCCACTATTGGCCTAGGTTCCCCAGCAGCCGTGTAATAGTAAGAGTACCCTTTTTCCTCCTGTTTGCCTTTAGTCAGGAAAGCCAAAACGAAAAAGTGCAAAAGGGTATTATTGGGGAACCTCGTGGCCCAGGCTGCCAGATGTTGAGCTCCGTGGCAGCGGCCCCTGACATCGCGGAGCTGCCGCCATGGAGGCAAGGAGTACTACGGATTTCGAAGCCTTCCGATTAGGAGACATAGGCCCTTGATCAAGATATGGTATGACATCGGCTCTCCGAACCCCCGTTTTTGGTTGGGTCGGCTTGGGGCTTCCATGTAGAGCTCTGGCTCCATATGAAGGAGGTGTAACCGTCCCGGGCGAGTTTTCTGCCGGTCTGGGGAAGGCTCCATCTGAATCCACGTGGCTGTTGGGGCTAGGGTTTAGGGCATTTTTACACTCACACTGTTTAGGGAATCTTTCCCTCCTACCACTGATAGGGTTTAGGGGTTTAGGGGACTACATGGCTGAGGCTTCTGGTGCCTTCTTGTGCATGCCGAGGCTAGTTCGGTGTCTTCATCTGTCCGCCCCATCTGTCGAGCCCGAAGTCCGAGGTCGAGGGGGCGAGTTCTGCGCTAAGGAGGAGGAAGGCAGCCAACAAAAAGATACACCTTCGCTAGGCCTTGCCAAACGCAAAAAGAGCGGGCTGCCATAAACAAACACCCTCAATCCTGAGCCCAATGCAAGACACTTCCAAACTCTGAAACCTCAGATTTACAGCTCCTAGTGAAACTTGAGCTCACACATCAGGTCAACTCCGACAAAGGGCTCAAACAGCTTCCGCTTCGGAGTGGTTCACGGTTTCGGGTTCTGGAATTAGGGATTGCATGCCGCTTTCCTTCATTAGCTTCTTGCACTTCTATAAAGCCAATCATGCTTATCTTCATCCTGTCTTCCCAGGACACGCTAGGCCTGAAGGTTTGGGGCTGCGGGGTGCCAAAGCCTCGGGCGGCGGGGGGGGGGGGGGGGGGGGGGGGGGGGACAGGAATCGGTGGGATCCGGGCTTCAAGTGTGTATGTTTTGGGTTTCGAGTCCCTCTGCCTTGAACTTGGGGCTGAGGATTTTGTCCCTAAGCCCAAAACCCCTAATATCGGATTGCAACCCCTGAACCCTAAAGCCCATTATAGTAGAGTGATTATAAGAATGCCCCTAAAGCAAACATTCCAAAGCCGGCGGCTTTCAGACGAGGCCGGAAAACTGGCCTGGTCATCATGGCGCGGAGGTAGGACATCACCTCTTTTCCTGAGCTTACTTGGAGGCTCATGGGTAGTTATAAGGGTGCCTTCAAGGGTCCCTTTAAAGGGATCTCTAGGGATTCTATACGGGTATAGGGTTTAGGGCTTACTTGGAGGTACATGAGTATAATAAGTAGGGTTATAAGTAGGGTAACTATACTTATGACCCATTTTGGAGGACTGAGAACCCTACGTATCACTACCCCTGAACCTCCAAGTAGGGTGGGGTTTCGACGCTCACGCTCGCGCACGCCAGGCAAGGCTCCTCATAGCAGGGTTTAGGAATTCTTAGGGTGGCTTCGCACACCCCGAACCCCGAGGTGGGAGTTTCCGAAAATTAGGGGTACCTTATTAGGGGTCCTTATAATAAGGATCCTACTAGTTAGGGGTACTATACTAGGGTCCCCTATTTTCGGAAACTCCCAGGTGTTTTCGACGGTCTAGGGTTCAGGCAGCAGCCTGAAGGGACTAGAAGGCCATGTCCTGGCACTCACGACCCGGACAACGACCTTTTTGCATCCAGGCCTACTGCGACTGCCGGGTACCCTGAAAAAAGGAAACTGAGGGCCAGGCAACGACCTGAAACCCTAAACCCTGACTCCCCGGATACTCCCGGCGACGGATGACCAAGGAACCTGGCAACTTTCTTGCTGCACCCTAATTAAGAGCGAACCTTCCAAAAAAGTGACTACACCAAATAACCCCAAAGCCGTAAACACTAAGACCCCAACACCCCAAAAACCCAAAACCGCCTAAACTCCAAGAGGCAGAAACAAAGAAATCCAGAAGGGCAACTCGCCCATCCTTTCGGCCGCGAGTCTCTCTTCTTGAGCGGCCTTTCCCAGGTTCTTGCCTCGGGTTTCACCACTAACTTTAGGAAACCACTGCAGCACCTGCAGAAAACCCAGCAGAACTACTTTGCCGACCAAAATCTAAATAAAAATCCCCACATGCAAGTGTTACCCAAAAATCCAAAAAATGAAGGCGCGGCACAATACTCCACGAGGACATCACGGACCTCGCTGAGCTTGACTCCCTTGGCATCCATCAACTTGCCGATCCTCAGCTCGATATCTTTCCGGCTTCTACTTGGGAGTTTCCGAAAATAGGGGACCCTAATATAGTAGCCCTAAATATTAGGATCCTCACTATAAGGACCCAAAAATAAGGTACCCCTAACTTTCAGAAACTCCCGTATCTTTCCGGCTTCTACTGGGAGGTTCAGAGGTAGATATAAGTTGGGTTATAAGTCCCCTGACATGGGCTATAAATATCGTTACCCTGGTTACAACCCTACTTATAACTACCCATGAACCTCCAAGTACTCGCACGAGGCAGGCACGGCGAGGATTTCAGGTTTTCAGTTTAGGGTCCCGTGCCACGATTCTGAGAAGCGTTCGTTGTTTCGTGGCCTCAGCCCCTTCACAAAAGTTCTGAACTCTCCGGGCCTCCCCTCCCGAAAGCTATTCAGACTTAAGATTGCACATCAGCTCTACCCCCTGTATTCCCTAACCCGTTTGCTGAGCCCCTTTAAACCTCAAGATGCCTGATGCTGCTGGGAGTGTAAATTTATGCCAAGTGTCTCCTCACTGGCCTGCCGATTTCCCATGTTCACCTGGGCTTTACGGGATTTGCTCTTGTGTCTTTGGAAGTGTTTCGTGCGTTCGGTGATCGCACCCCCGCTCCAATCTCTGTTCAAGACTCTCAAAGATAAAAATCATCAAGTTGGAGCACTGCAGCTTAGACATTCAAGCATCAAATGTGCTCTTGGCGTTTTGCAAGTACGCTGCTGCTACGGCGACGGCCTGCTAGGATCGAAAAGGACTGAAGGACGAGTGCTGTCGGGGCCTGTAGGCGGGACTAAACCATGGAGTGTAGCGATGACAGTCAATCAGAGCGCAGAGAACGACAGCCAGCCGGACACAGAAAAGTTAGGGCTTCAGGCTGAGGGGTCGAGCCTCTCCGTGGGCTTTGGCCTTGCTGCATCCTAAGCCCTAGCCCTAGAACCCAGACCTTACACCCTGAGCCCTCCGACCCTGCAAAAACTTCTGTAGGCGTCGGGGCTCAGATCAAATCTTGAAACCCGAGGTTGAGGGTTTACGAGCTTGAGCTAAAGCTCCCCAACCCAAAAGTTCAAGTGCATCCAAGGCTCCAGTCGGACCAGGATCAGGTCCACCTGTTTCTTTCGTTGTGTGCGTTTAGATCGGGTTGTCACAGTTCTGCTTTGGGCATTTAAGCTTCACGGTGGTCGGATTCATTCGGGGTCGAGCGCCTCCTTCTATGATGATTCGGATCATACTCATATTGGACTCCACCGGTACTTGTAATGAGTGTGCCCGCCTACCTAACTAACCACTTTTTAACTGCACTCTTAATTCAGCAATCGTCGTGCCGCAGACGTCGTACTCGTCAGAACCTGAACCCTGACCCCTAAACCCAACCCCTAGGCCCACTGCCTGAAGACTCTGTCTGAACCCGACATCCCGAGCCCCAGCAACTGGAGCCGGACAGCCGCTGTAGGCCAGCATGTTGCTTGTGATTGAAAACTTGAGATATGTGTTTTTGTTTAGGCGCCTGTTTCCTGTCCTGCCCAGCTACCGCAAAACCACTCCAATTCGGTGTTCGGGCTTTGGGTCTAGGCTTCGGTTTTCGGGCTTCGGTCGATGGCCCGCCTGCTGCAGAGTGAAAAGACCGGCATCGCAGCGATCCAGAAAAAGCTGCTCCTGGAAGAGGAAACACGAAGTCCACTCTGCGCTAACGGTTTCAGCACTCACATTCGGACGAGCCTGGGCGAGGTTCCTGGGCAGGTTCAGGGTTTCGACGCTCACACTCGCACAAGGCAGGCAAGGATGCAGGTTCAGGATTTAGGGCTAAGCCTGCTAAGGCAAAGACGTTCATCCCAGACTTCAAGCAAGCAGCCCGGCGCCCATGAAACCCAGATAACCAGAAGTTCCGGCAAATCTCGGGTGTCACAGAAACAGTCTTACACTGGCATCAGTATGCAAAGTCTGTAAGCCTCTCTTTGCGAGTTCTCTGCTGCAGTACTCACCACACGACTCCTCAACAGAACAGCTCCCAAAAAAAAGAGCGCGAAACCTGGGATATGACAACAAATTTCCACACCGAGACATCAACACCGAAACACCAAAAACACCACAACCTTCGACACTGCTCGCAAGATCTACCTTTTATGCTTCCGGTCTGCAGCGCCTCTACCGGGTCCGCAAGATCTACCTACTACCTGAAACCGCAAGGCTTCCGGAGCCTGTTCCACCCTGAACCAGCAAACTTGAAACCTCTGGACTCTGGCAATTTACACAGAAGGCCGCCACTCCACCCCAGCTCCTCGTCGTTGACTTCCAGCCTAGGTCAAGTCCCCCGGGCCGAAACTGAACCCAGGAACTTGAAAGGGATATTTCGCGCCAGAATAGTAAATCGACATTATCCCTTTTTGCACTAGCCAGGTCCTTGCATCACAAATCGACACTATCCCAGATCCCAAACCCTGAAGCATGAGATCCCAGACTCGAAGCTGCAACCACCTGATGGCATCAAAGATAGAGCTCTAAACCCCGTAGTCTGGCTGGTGCTCAGAGCTGCAAGCGTCGGAAGCTTCAATTTAGTAACTATTCATACTTAAAGTGGGACTGAAGGGACTTGCAGTGAGAAGCGGCCCATGATTTCTCAAGCACAGCTCTGTCATCATCGTTAAAATGGCCAGTCGGATTGCTATGATCAATAAAGCCCAGCTGGTTATCACGATAAAAAGGGTGTGCTAACTCCAACTGCAGTTATTCGGATACTGATGACGACGCGCTTGGCGGCTCCGCGTGGTAGCAGGAGTTCAAGGCGTAGGTTTCTCTCTGCCGTGCCATCCCCGAGGGCTTCGCTCCGCTACGCAAGGGCACGAAGTGGCAGGCTAGGATATCAGGTGTAATACATTTGGGGTTAAGCAAGTTCAGAATTTAGGATGAACCATAAAACCCAAAACCCTAAACTCTGAATAGGGTGTGGGTGCTTGAAAAATTGAAAGGGGAGGGAAGCCCGGGAAGCGCTTGCGGCAGGTCTTCAGCCTCACGTTCAGGACTATTCTTCGGTCTGGTTCTACACGTATATTCTAGGGGTCTTAGTTGTTTCGGAATTGGCTTTTTGGGTGGGGCACTAAGCTACACTCAAATTAAGAAACCCCCATGAGCAGTATTGAGATTAGCCTGCTTAGACCCTTTTCTCTTCACTCCCGAATCCCAGATATGGAACGCTTGGCCTAGCCACTTTTTTAATCTGGAACTAGGCCCTATAAATCCCAAAAGCCCCAAGCAATTCCCGAAGATCAGTAGGCTACTATACCGAAATACGACTCCAAACCTTCAAAGGCCCTAAGTAACCCCTTCATACAAGTATACGATAGCACAGAAATACCTTATGATTAAGTGTACTACTAAACTATGACCCCCAAACCCTTCTGCGGTTGGGCTCTTATTGTCAACCAGCGAGTCCGTCCACGCTCTGAAGCTCAGTTCTGCTGACCCCCAAACCCTAAACCCCAAACCCTACTAGTGCACTATTTTACACTGTTGTACTAATATACTATTGTACTATTATCCGCTATATACGATTCTACTATGACCCCCAAACCCCAAGCCCTCTTCTAACTGAGACCAAGGGGCTCTCGGTCGATCTTCTGGGCGAGGCCCTGGTCCCGGGCCTGGGAATCTTCGGCTCAAAGCGTCTCATGGCGGCATTTTCTAGCCGTTGGTTAGTGGGGAAGAATAGGGGTACTATAAAAGGGATCTATAAGGGTTACTATAAGGGATCTATAAGCGCTACTATAAGGGTGACTATAAGGGATCTATAAGGGTACATGGGGCTTAATAATCCTATAAGTTATCTTGGCTTAGTAGGGAATGGAGGAATGGGGTACAAGTATAACTACTATTACTACCATTCTTCCATTCCCTACTAACCAGCGGTAAGTTTTTACAATGACGGACTAAGGCCAAATAGTGCCGGGATTCCCTACATATTACTCTTCAGGATTGAGGCTATGAGGTCATGAGGTTTCCAACTTTTCGGCTTTTACTGTACAACGTCGATGTTACAACTTAGACATTATGTACGGCCTAAACTACTGCACGAAGAAACTATGTTGTATATTCTGAAGTCTGTAGTCTATAGTTTACCATTATAGTATATAGGCTACGCCATATTACAGTATGTGCTGTAGGCTACGTGTTACAAATCATAATGTGTACCGTATTGTATATGTATGTATATGCACATGTTATGAATAATGACAGTGTAAATGTAGACGGTTTGGGTTTGAAGGCCTGCAACCTCGGGTGTCTGTCGGTATGTTTCGTGTCTGCATTTCTGTTTGCAGTTGCTGATTTTGCTTGCTTCGGTGCTTGCGTTCGTTGTGAATATTGCTGGCTGAGCCACCTCATCTGCGGCCTTTACTGAGCGGTTGTACTCCTCACGCCGGGGTTGCAGCTGCAAAACGTGACAGCGACGGGGTGCAAGTTGGGGCAAACTGGCGGCTCAAAGGAGGGGCAGACGTGGCCTCTTCTAGTAAAGCCCCAGCACGGGGAGTTTCAGGCAAGACCTGGTTTGAATGGCCGTCCTCGTGCATCTCCAGCAGTCGCTCCAGCTTCTCGAACTGGCTTTCGACCTCTGAAAGAGACGGAACGGATTCAAGCATCATCCAGGCAAGTACTGCGGAGAGCGTCAAAAACGAGAGACACAAAGCCGCCAGTTCATGGCTGGAGAGGGCTCAAGAGTGTAGTTAGTATCAAGAACTGTTATTGTTCTTAAAGTTATTTTGTTATGAGTATTATTGTGTATCATCAACTGAAATGTTTTGGTATTCCTTCACTTCAGGCCGGGCACGAACTTGTTCAGCACGCGGGCAACCGGCGTCCCTGTGCAGTATCTGCAGAGCGACTGGACGATGGAGGTCACCTTAGAACACCCAGGGCTCTCTGCTACAGAAACCCCGGGGTCGAATATAGAGGCCTTAAACAATTAGAATAGGGTTTGGGAACCATTATACTAATCATTATACTATAACCATAACAAGGAACCCCCAAAACAGAATTGGTGATTACTTAGGCCCCAAAGTAGTGCGTTCAGGGCGCATGCTCCTCCAGCTCCTTTGCCTCCGACTCCTTTTTGGTCTTCGCTCCTTCAGTGACGGAAAGGTGGAAACGGAACAAAGGCCAGGGCGCGAAGTGCTGCACCTCTACTCGTGATCCGGGGCATTCCGGGTCTGGGCGTGGTGTTGTCCAGAGGTGTGTCTGCAGCCACACAGTACAGGAAGCACGAAACTTCGCCAAGGTCTTGAAGACCTCAAAACCTGAATCCCCCCCAACAAAAATTGCCAGATCTGCAAACCGAAAAAGAAATCATGCTCTCAGCCTCAGCCCTGAAGGTTTTGAGGCACAATCTTCTGTAGCCCAACAACCACCACCACCACCTTAAGGTAAGCCTGGAAGCACATCCCCCCTCGAAGCTCTGACGAACAAGGCCATTGTCAACAATCCCCGCTTTCTGCCTCTCTTCATGAAGATGGCGAACAGGACCTCCCAGCTTGCTTGAAGGCTTTCGGCACTCGAGTTACTAGAGCAGAGAGAGAGAGAGAGAGAGAGAGAGAGAGAGAGAGAGAGAGAGAGAGAGAGAGAGAGACAGGGAGAGAGACTCTCTAGATCTGGGCCTGTCTGTATGTTCTGAGCGTATACACTTAAGGAGAATGCCGACAGAAAGAAACCGCGCTGTAGTGGCCGTACTTCTCGGGGAAGGTAGACAACCACACATTCCGGCTGAAGCTGGGAATCAGCATCTCCTTCCAAACGAGTCTGACAGAAAGGTCGCAGCTGCAAGGGCCAACCCTCGATACAGAAGCCCTGAACCTAAGGGGCTGAGTGCCCTAGCCCGGAAATCGCCAGCTTTGCAGTCATGGCAATGATTATACGATGCCCTAACTACTACGGAGTGAAAACACCTGAAAAAACCGAAAGGCCCCGACCTGACAACCCCGAAAACCCTGAATTCAAAGCCCTACGCAAATCCTCAGCCCGAAGCAGCTGTACTTTCATGTTTTACAGAAAAACCGTATAGAACCCTACTAGAAGGCCTTGAAATCCATCCATCTTATGACAACCACAATAATGGGCCCGAAAGCCTCAGGGCTTTTCTAGAAACTCCCATTGGATCCTTTGTAGATCTTAACATAAAACCCCTCCTCTCGAGCCTTGAGGCCAAGCTTCTCCACGAAGACCTGGCAGTTCTCGGGGCAGTGTCGCAATGCCTCAGTGGTTCAGGGTTTAGGGTTATAGGGTTATAGGCATAGGGTTATAGGGTTATTACAGGGTTTACGCTCTCGCAACTCGGACACAGCCAGACGTCATTATAGGGTTTAGGGTTTAGGGTTTAGGGTGTCGAAAAAACCAAGGCAGCATGGCTCGAAGTGCGTTGCTTTAAACGTAGCCGGCCACTTTCACTCCACCAGCGCCAGTCCCTAGTGGAGTTGCACTGAGAAGAAAGAGACACGCTCAATACGTCTAGGATTCAGGGTTTGATAAACGCTTGTTCCGAGGAATGTCACGTGACGTAACACTCTTACAGAACCCCAAGTCATGTTATTTACTGTTATGGTAACTTAAATTCAACTCCTTAACCGTTAACAAGAACCAGCAACAGCAAATCCAGTAGGTAAAGTTACCATAATCAGGAAACAATATCATTTCCTACAGGTCCCTAGCTAGGAGGGGCTTTTGAAGCCTTTGAAAAATATTAGTAGGTAAGATCCTCTTAAGCCCAATAAGAGAAAATATGAAATGTCCCAAAGCCCTACCTGGCTATTATGCTAACTTAGCAAGTCCAGGAGGGCCCTCGGCCCCCAGAGACTCCAATATCCCTTAGTTAAGGAATATTACTTAAATCATATAAGGGATCCTACTATAATTTAAGGTATATTCCTTAACTAAGGGATATCGGAGTCTCTGGGTCTCAGTCCCTCGCATGGTCTGCCAGCTTCAGAGCCAGGTTCGAGGCGAAGACGCGCTCCTGGCAAGGCTTCTGGGCTTCCCAGAGGCTCCAAAACCCCTGACTTCCTTGAAGGGATCCTTCAAGGGATCCAAAATCTGAAATACGGGAATTAGGGAATCTTTCTGAAAGTATAATTGGATCCCTGCCTAATATGATTTAAGGGTATGTTCCTTAATAAAGTGGTTCTGGAGGCTTCAAGGCTTTGGGGTTGTAAGGGCATTCGGGGCTTTTCGGATCGCGGGTTTGGGTTTTCGTCAGCGCGATAGGGTGTGTGTGCTATTTCAAGGGTTTTGGGTTTGTTTTCCGGACTTTTTCGGTTCAGAGTTTTGTAAGTGGGAATCAAAAGGCAAAGCTTCGGATCGCCTGGGAATCGAAGGCTTCGGGGTTCGTACCTGATGGGATGTCTTGGGTTCGGATCTAATTGGGGCTCCTTGGGCTCGGATTTGGGGCCTCCTCGAGCTTCGGGGCTTCGGATTCAGGTGTCGGAGGTTTGGAATTGAGGGCTTTCTGCCCTCGGACGAGCCAGGCGAGGTTCGGAGCTGACTCTGTTTGGCCGCCAATCTGGCTGAAGTGATCCGACACCAGCAGCCCAAGCCTATCCCCCAGAGAGTGCTCCTTCATCATGCGGATCATCAACTCCAACCTTGGCTGAAGAACGTTGCTCCGACTGAGAGACTTAGTGGATCTTAGAGGCCTTGTCAAGATTGTCCTCCGGAATCTCCACTCACTCCGAGCCCGGCCCAGTCCCAACTAGAGTTTCACATTCCCTGACCAGGGGCCCCTGGAGACGTCCGAAGGCCAACTGGTTGGCTTTCAGCAGCATCAGTGAGCAGAGGCAGTCGAACATGTTCTGCACATACTCCGACTCCTGCAAACACGGTTCAGCAGTACAGGAATCGGTAAGGTAGGGCTGACCGAGGCAACCTAAAGCAAGCTCCAAATCATAAGCCTCAGCAGGTTCCGAGGGTACCCGTTCCACTGTACAGTTCCCCTCCTCGCTGTCCGCGGGATCGCGCTTTCGGTACGCAGCGATGCCACGCAGCAACTTGTCGACCCCCTCGAGCTTCACCATCCTAAGCGGCAGCTTATTGAAATTGCCCTTCATGCCTCCTTTTCGGGCATGGGTTTCGACTGGTCCGTCCGAAGCTGAGCTCCCCCTTTAGCAGCTGTGATGCTGTAGGGGGCAAGGGCTCAAGTCTATGAGCAAAAAACCCACAATCCAAAACCCTTCAGCCTGCGTCCCCATACCCCACCTGTAGCCGAAAAGACCTACCTTCTTAGGCTTCCTTATTATGGTTATATATTTATAGTCCCTGAAAAAAGGTAGGTCTTTTCGGCTACAGGCAAAACTCAAACCCCGAAGTCCTTGAATGTCTTTGAGATTCAGACGGCCAGGGGGCGACTCCCTCGCTGGCTCCGAGTTCTGCAGAACGATGCCCAAGATCTCCGAGGCATAGACCTTCCCCAGCTGCAGAGAACGGCTGATCAGGAATCCCTTGCAACACGTGCGTCATGCTTTTTTTTGATTTTGCACTCTCGACATGGTTTCTTCCCTCCTACTAGTACCTCGCAAGGACGGGGTCCACATTGCAGGGTATCCCCGGGTCGACATGGGATGCTGAGTGGCGGCTCCGAGACTTCGAACCCTAGGGTCTCCATGCGAGGAGTTGTCATGTGCGAAGTACCCAGCCGGGCCCATCAAACTTCTGAAGGCCTAAACCCGTGAACCGCAGATCCTCCTCGAGCCTTGTTGTAGTCCATGGCGCCCTGGGCCCGCACGCGCTTGATGAGCCATGGCAAGAAGTTCCTGGGCTCTTGAAAGAGTCGTCGTCGTCACGGCAAGAACCAGACCGTGAAACTTAAAAAAATCGAAGGGGCGAGTGCCTGAGTGCCATTACCCTTTCACCACTATGTACTGACACGAATGCGATACTCTTGCTGCTGCTTCTTGCTCTTCGCTAAGCCAAGCATCGGGATCTCCAGGAACTGCTTGCACGTGTCCTGCGGCATCGAGTCCTTGGCTCTTCGGAGGGGCAGCAACAAACTAAAGGCAGTGTGCCCTTACCAGAGCTCGGTTTTTGGTAGCATCAATGATGCTGCGCTGTTCCCTCGCAACAAACACTTCCCAACTTGAGGATCGCCAAGATGCTCAAAAACCTAATCACACCACTTCTGATTTTGCTTCCAAACATCCGCCAGGTTCTCAATCATACTGAGACCGTTCGTCACGGCCTTGAAGTCCTCCAGATCGCTCAGAACTATTGTCACAACTCCGATCATGCTATGTTAGGCAACATTCTTGACACTCTTGGAAAGATCCTCGCGCTCCGTCGAGAATTCAAGAATCGTATCCCTGCAGCCCTGAAGCCGTTCCTCGTCACTGGCGGTCTCGTCAATGCGCATGAGAACGTCCACGGTCATCTGACAGAGCTGCGCTTCGAAGAGGGCCTTGGCCCAGGCTCTCATCTTTGACGGCAGTGCTGTTTAATTCTGCGGTGCACGAAGACACTAGGCCCAACGAACGAAAATGCTGTGCCAGACTCGGTTTCGACCACAAATCGAAACGAACCGAATACTCCCTCCTGCAGCCTGCTAGACTGCTAGACTCCTGGAACCTGGCGTCTACGCGGCCAAATAGCTGGCGGCCAACACAAAAGAAGTGGGTGATCGATGCGACCCACACACAGAGATTCCCGGTGCCATCGTGATTTGGGCAGTCGTCACAGTTGGACTTTCAGGAGGGCCAAGCCGAGGCTTGGCGGCAGGAGGCCGCATTCGCACAAGTAACAGAACCCCGCCTTCAGAAATACCTCCGGCTCCTCCACATCTGCGATGGCATCCGGATCAGTGAGCTCACTAAGCACCTTCCGGAAAGTGTTTCGGCAGGTATCCTGGCTTCAAGCCAAAAATCCACCCCCCAGTGGGCATCCGTAGGATTCCCCTTAAGCCTTAAGCTCCACTTCTCAAGTGGTCAAGCCATGTTCTGGCGAAAAGCCTGCTCCAAGGCTTCTTGTTGAGCAGCGGAGCACCTTGTGCTCGCCTACGGCTAAGGCGCCTCGAAGACGTCGACGGCAATGTCGGTATTCACATGGTTCAACATGCCTACCTAAGAGAACATCATGGGGTTTGAGGCGCTTGGGTTGCTCTAGTCTGCTAGTGGGTCCAAAGGAAGGCTCTAGGGGGAGCTTCGGGTGTCCGGTCTGAGCAGAAGCGAAGATGATAGGTCTTCACAGACCGCGGCGAGGCCCTGACCTGGAAAAACCCCAAAACTATGCCAGGGCCTAGCAAGTGCATGAGCAAGGTACCATGAGAGGGAGCGTCTCCAGTTTGATCAGCGCCGGGTAGAGCTCCGGGTTCGTCGCCTACAGATTTGACGCGTGACCCACAAGGCATAATGACGTTGGGCTTCCGAACGGTTTTGTACCGCTTTTCGCCGTTTACTCCAGCTGGTTGGAGGCGACACTTCAGTTTGAGCTTGAAACCGGAATCCTGGCAAAAGATTAGCCGGCTCGAAGTGCGACAGTCTTCCGAATGGTTCCGCCCGCCCGAGACCAGAAGCCACCATCTCAAACCCTCAAGACATGCTTGGAGCTGTCGGGCTACAGGGTTGGTGCGGGCTCTCGGACTTTGGGACCATGCGGATGTGAGTTCAGGCTTTCGCAGTGGAGGCGCCGGGAATACCACATGCCCAAAATCGTAAGCTCGGGACTGCATACACAGTACACTAACCACCCCTGAACCCGAAGCCCTGGCAAATGATTGCCGCCAAGAGCACGACAAGGGTAAACTTCTTGATCTCTTCATCAAGGTCCACCTGAGACGGCCGTGGGGCAAAGGCTGAATGCGGACCCGAAGTTGGCGCTTCTTCGTGGGTTTGCGGTTGAACTGGCCAAACTCCCACCTGCCTCGCTCTTGAGGAACTTGTCCGGATCATCCGCATGCCTGCAACGGTGCCGGGTGTAAAAACTTGCGAACCTCTGCTTAACCTCAATCAAAAACCCGAGGCGGCAATCCACTTCTCAGTGGGAAGCCTGCATTCAGTGTTTCCTTCCAGCCGAGGGGCTTGATCCTCAGCTCCCGATTGACCTTGACCTTGCGCTCAAACTGCCTGGGCTCAGGATCCCTGAGAAATTTGCAAGTCGCAGTAGCGCTTCCCTGCTGGCTGCTACCACATCCAAGACCACAACATGTCCAAGCCGCAAGTGCATCCGTTTCAGCGCGGTCTCATTCAGGGTTTCTACCTGGATTCGGTCAGATATTTTCCAAACCAGAACTGGAAACTGCAGTGGCCCGAACCAGGGGCCCTACTCACTGCTTGGCCTCTCTCCATCTCTTGCTCGGTGCTTTCTTGCAGGCTTCTGTCTCGCTCTTTGGGCTCCCGGGCATGGAGCTCATCTGCCTTGTCAAGCCTGAGCGAATGAAGAGCGGAGCTCGTGACAGAGCAACTATTCTGCCCTGATGCCTCTGGCGATTCGGTGGGGCCTGCTGCTAAGAACCATCTATTCATGACCGCGCATGATGCTGTGTCTTCAAAAAGCCTACGGAAGCTCGGCTCCACCGTCCCAGGAGCATGTGCTGGATGTCCTCCCGGGAGACCTCGTCCGGGAGGTCGTCGCCCAACCTCGGTGCGGTCAAGCCCTTCCACCTCGGGAAGGTGTGCCCCACACTTCTCATCAAGAATCAAAACAGAGGAAATCCTAACACAAACATCTCCAGAATGACTGGTACGTCACCTGAAATCAAGGTGTGGCTGCGGCTATGCGCTTGCAGGTCTAAAGCGGCAATTCCAAGACCCAGAACAGGTTGACGGGTTGGGAGGACCCACACGTGAGCTCTAACTTTGGCATCTGGTTCCTCCGAGTCGCTGTAGGCGCTTGGGTGTCGGTTCATCCTTCGGTGCTGGCGCTTTTCCTTAGCTGGGCCCAATGGACCCGTCACGCGCTGTAGAAGCCCAACAGCCCAGACCCTGAACTCAAGCTACGGCAAACCTAAACAATCCTACAGTCCGAACCTGATCCCATGAAGATGTCAAGTGTTCCAAGGTTGGCATTATCAAAGCATGATGCCCTGGGTTTTCCTCGAATCGTCCAAGCCTTGCCTTTGTTGACCTCGAACTTCCCTGCCCGGCACGTTCAACTTAGCGATGCCTCAGGCGAAAGCAATGCCGATCCAGAACCCAACACAACCTCACACGCCTCCTGGAACACTCAGCACGAAAACGCTTAGGTCCTAAACCCCACACTAAAACCTTCGACCCGAAAGCATGCCCCCTAAACTTTGAGTTCTGTACCTTTCAACCCAATTAACCCTGTTCATGATAAGCCTTCTACCAGTAGATACACTTCCGAAGCTGCCACCATTCCTGGCACTTCACACCGCTTGGAGAAGTGATAAGCCTTTTAACCTCAACTCGAGCCCCAACTCCCCGAAAAACAAGACCGGGCTCGCTTCACCGGCACCGGCGGCGGCCGCATCTCGCCCACCCCGGCCTTGGTTCTTGGCTTCATTAGGCTGCCTCTTTGCGATCCTTGTAGTATAGATTTGTAGGCTTGTGGGGGTTGTAGTGTAGGACCACAGGATTATACGGATTCTAGAAGGCTTCAACAGAGCTGCATGCTGGTGAGGGTTCTTTGCTTTTGGTGTAGAGATCTGGGGCGTTTGCCTCCTGCATTGCTTGACTGGGCAACAACCGATCAAAACGAAGCAGGCACTTAGCCATCAGCTTTCCAAGTCATGCTGCACCTGAAAGCACATTTTCCACGAAGGCTTTGTCCATGCTGTGTTTCGGAGACTCATGTGATGCCTGTGTCTGAGGCCGTTCAAAAGCGCAACACAAAAGAGATTGAGTGAAGAAATGACGTCTGGCCGTATCGAAAACTGGGGCACGGCCGCACCAGCTCCCTCAGGGGACGGGCATATCCAACTTTGGGATTCGAGTCCATGGTCGGGAAAGGATTAAGGATCATGTTTATTCCTTATTCGGTTTAAGTACCCATTGTGCGGAAGTTCAGGGGAACTTAGGGGGGCCAGGACGGCTGACCCTCTTCATTGCCAGACGACCACTGCCATCAACAGGCTAGTTGCTGCTGACTGGCCTAAACAGCCTCGCAGTTGTCACAGCTTCACATCGTGCGACGTGACATGAGATATGCTAAAAGGTTGAAGGTCTGAAGACTGTTGGCTCAGAACTGCTTCTCCGTGACCCCAGCAGACATGATGCCGGTCGAGGAAAGTCCGCCGCTGACGATGTTGCCCATCTCGTCCACAATCTCAGAGCCACTCCACTTCTGGTGGGTCAGGGTCTCCACCTTGTGCTCACGCTCCTTGCGCTGGATCATCTGCACATACGCGGCCGCACCTCGCTTGGAATACTCCTTGGCGAAGAGGTCGATGCTCAAAGCATCGCAGTGGAAGCCGGCCAAGGTGATGAACTGCCAGCAAAAGCCGAGCTTGGCCAGGTCCCAAATGAAGGACTCCATCTGCGCATCGGTCATGCCGGCGGTGTCCCAGTTGAAGGACGGGCTCAGGTTGTACGCAAGCATCTGGTGGGGCACCGCTCCGCGGACCTCCTTGGCGAACTGCGTGGCCTGCGCCAGGATAGGCTTGCCGGTCTCCATCCAGATGCTGTCAGCATAGGGGGCGAAGGCGATGGCACGCTCAATGCAGAACTCGGTGGAGCCCTTGATTCGGTAGTAGCCCTCCACGGAGCGGGCGGCATCCCAGTCGAAGTAGATGTCCAAGCCCATGCCCGAAGCCGCCTTCTTCATCTGGTCCATAGACATCTTGCGGGAATCCTGCAAGAACTTGGCCGGGTCCTGACCCTTGGCCTTCATGGCCTTGGCAACGGCATCCGGGAAGGTCATGCAGCCGGATCGCTGCTCCCAGTCCTTGTCAGTGCCCTTGCGCATGGCCTCGTAGAGGGTCTCCACACCCTTGACAGTAGCACCCTTGATGTGGGGATGGTCGATGGGATCCTTAGATGGATCAGCTCAAATATTCGGGGCTGACAGCACAGATGCCGCACGTAGAACCGACATGAAGCGGCTCTGCAATATCCAGATTCCTCGAAAAACCTCCAAATAAGCCGCTACCTCCCAGGCCGTCTTTTGTGGGCTGACTGGCTCGCAAACACGGAGCTTGATAGATTTCGAAAACGTAAGCCTACTTATCAGCGGGGTCGCAGGTTTGTTGGGCCCTGAACAGTCAAGCTCAAACCTGCAAGCTCTGCCTTCGAACGCTGTCCCCACCACTGCTCGTAATTCAAGCATGAGAAGCTCTCTGCAGAGGAAACCTCACACCTGTTCTCATCTGACCCGATGAGAGCCGTGACCTCAGCCCTATGTAAGGGATTCGATGGTTCTGCTTCCATGCGAACTTCGAACAGAGCCCTCAAAAAAAAAACAACCACGGCCACGGCTCGATGTTGGAGTCGATCATGGTCGCGGCCTGCAACTAGCCGGATCACGGAAACAGAGGCCTAGTCGTCAAGCCTCCAAAGGTCTTACACACGCTCGGAGCCACGGAATTGTCCGGCCGGCATGAGCAAAAGGCTTGCGTGCAGGATCCGAAATACTGTGCGACCTCGACCAAAAAACAAAACAGCAGCCAGTCTACAAAGTTGAATGATGACTCGCCCACAAGCCTCAGCATCTGTGCGTGCCACAATGACCAGAGCCGAGTTCAGCACATCGGCCTGCAAAGCACGGCAGCTCGGGGCTTTCAAGGTCTCGCGTGGCTTCAGGCAGGCCAGGCGTGAGATGGCTTCGCGGTATTTCTGAAACATGGGAGCGCACAATCTTAAGAAAGCTTTCAGATACGACCCCGCACTACGTGCTGCTCACCCATGTCTTGGTGCAGGGGCGTTGGAGGCTTCGACCGCAATTCTGCCAGCAGGGTTGACTCCACGGCGGCCTAATTCGATCCGTTAGCCCATCGCACAGTAAATCGGTGCACCGCTCCAGTTGCCTCAAGCTTGATCTTGATGCCTTCAAAAGCTGCGCTGGGTGTACGATGTCGTGACCCTGCCCTCACTGCTAGACTTCTGCCTTCGGTAGATGTCGATCTGCTTTGCAACATGGTCTGCCACTTCCCGTGTTCGAAGAAGTCAAGACCACCAGGGTGATAGATTGCCAGCCAAAGCTCATCAAAGTAGCGATTAGTTCCCTGGTCTGTGCTCCCCGACTTGATGCCCTGAAAGTGACATGCCCAACTATTGCCCCTGTGCATGGGCTGGAAAGTTAATGTTGAGCTTTTCACTTCCACTCGGACTTCATCACGTATCCAGTCAACTGCAGCATTGCTGTCTGATCGCTTGCATCCATGCAGTGATACCTCACCCTTGGCACTCTGGAAAGCACTGTTAGGGTGTTGAAGCTGATCTAGTTCACAAGCTATTTCTTGGATTCTTCGAGCACGAGTGACGGAATTCACCGTAGACAAAGGAACATGCTCGTAGTGTTTCCAGCCGCAATCTGAGGATTTGCTCAAGACGTCGCTATAGAGGGCCTGAGCCAGTGCATCAGACTTCGGGAGGTAAGACAAAAGATCGCAGCAACCTTGCGACGTCATTTTGGCTAGAATGGTCTGCAAGGCATCCTTCCAACAGATCTGTCCTGATTTTGCACGCACTTCAATGATGTGTCCCGCGGTTCTCGTCCTTGCACCGGCCGTTGAGACTCCCGTTAGCAGATCATGTTTGACCAAGTAGAACCCGTCGGGTGCATATATCAGAAGGTAGAGATCATCAAAAGGCTGCTCTGGATGACAACCATTTCGGGCAAGCTTCACCTTGTGAAAGACAACCCTCCAACAGTTCCTCCCCGCATGAAAGCACAGCTGGGAAGTCTTGAGCTCAGCCCGTCTGCCCATGAAAACCCAGTCCCATTCTGCGTTCCCAAGGCTACGCCGTCTGCCACTGATGCATCTTCCCAAACGGTGCGCGTCGGCATCTTGAGTGGCATGGTTGGCATGAGTTCGTTCGAGCAGACGCCGTGTGAGAGTTTCGAAACTCAACCCGCGATGGGCCGAAGTGATCGTGGCGAGAGGATCGCCAGCATACGCGTTATTTGTAAGAGTGCAACCCTCATTGCGGATTATGTGCTGAAACCTTGACGAGTCCAAGACGACCAGACGGCGGCATGACGCTAGCCACTGGATTCCTGGCGAAGCACGTGCACATCTAGCCCAAAGCATCTCTTCAGGAAATGTTCGAATCACATCATTCGAGACCCATGCAAAGCTGCATCATGGCATCGCGCGCATCACTCCCAGAGCGGTGCCAAGTTAAAGCATCTTTGCTATCTTGAGAGGAGAATGCCAAAACGACAACCTGAATGTCTGCTATCTAGGAAACCTAGAGGGGACCGGTGGACTACTTTGAGTAGAGAGCTTTGGGGTGCTTCATACGCAGCAGAAAGCAGGCCTGCAGTCGGATGGCGATCAAACGCTGAATGTGCTCCTGCAAGGCAGCTTTGCCTAAGAAGTCCTGTCTCAAGTCTGAAAAATCCGAACTCCGCCGCGCGGGCCCGCATGTAGAGTGCTGTTAAAGGCGGTGCCACAGGAGAACAACCCAGACTCCTGCGTGGAGACGAGGACCTTTCCGCCCATGTGGCCGCACTTCTTGGTGCCAGGCTTCTGGTCCTGCTACGAGGTGCTGGGTTGCGGATGCCAGAATGCAAGCCAAGGGCTCCGATGAAGGATGACTGCATCAAGATGAGGAAGCCACTGCATGTCTATCTTACTTTACGCCCTGAACCACAGTCGCTGGCTTGCGAAAGTCTGGTTGAGCTGACAATCTCCGTTCAGTCTATCTGCAGCAGATGCAACGGTGAGGAGTGGCCTGTAATCCGCTATCCCGACCTGGACCTTCGCTGCACACGAATTCAACCTCGAATCTTGAGCAGTGTTGTTGCCGCTAGCAGCACCCACGTCTTGGGTCGCTACAGTGGTACAAAGGACTCTCGATCAGAACGGAGACTCCGGAACTGAAATTGCGTCGGGCTGGGGTCACAAAACCATGCAAGCACGCTCGCCCTCTCATTTTCCGTCACAACAGCATGTCTTGAAGCTTGTCCGCAGGAATCACGGCCTCCTCCGCCTCAACGAAGCGCAGCCACTCCGCCCAGATGGAGCCATCCGCCTGTCGCAGCGTCTCCGCGTGCGCGAAGACCACGAGCCCTCGCCGCGCCCGCGTCAGCGCGACGTTCGCCCGGCGGGTGTCCTGAAGGAAACCCAGGCGGCCCTCCCGGTTCGAGCGAACAGCGGAGAAGACGACCAGGTCGGCCTCTGCTCCCTGGAAGCCGTCCACCGTGGAGACTCGCACCTCGTTGAGCTCCGGAACGCCTCGCAGTTTGCCTTGGAGGAGCTCCTTCTGTTGCAGGTAAGGCGTCAGCACCACCACCTCCTCGGTGGCCACAGACCCCGGGCCCGCTTTGGTCTGCCGGCTCGGGTCCAATACATGCTTGAGGAATCTCACGACGGCATCCGCCTCAGCTGCATTCCGCCAGGAGGTGCCTTGCTGCTCTTCGCAGTGGCCTTGGTGGCCTTGGTGGCCCTTGCAGTCCACCAGCCAAAGGCGGAAGTCGCCGGACTGCGGCCACTTGACACCTTTGATCGGAGCCCTACCCGGGGCCTTGTCATGCACGAGGCCCTGGTAGAAGTAGAGATTTGGGA